TCTCGATCTCCCGACCTCGTGATCCGCCCGTCTCGGCCTCCCAAAGTGCTGGGATTACAGGCTTGAGCCACCGCGCCCGGCCGGGAAAAAAATTTTAAGTTACAATTAAAAGAGAGCAGAAACATCTGCAACATAACGCAAATGTATCTATGATACTACCACATGAAAATGAAATTTTACCCAAAAAAACGTTAAAACACTCAAATTATGCAGGTAAGGGCAATTTACGTATTTCAGATTTATCTTGTTTAAAATAATTTTTTGGTGTAGTTTTAAAAGCCTTGCCTCCTTTTATCCTTCAGGGAATAGCGTCCCACTAAAAGAGAACACTATCGTAACGATACTTTCAGGCAAGAAACTTGTCTTTATGATGTAAACCAGGGCTACCAGATCCAGATAAGGTTTGCCATTAGGATGCTTCAGAAGTAATAACCTTCAAAGAAAAAAAATTTTAAAGTAATTCCTGCATTAACAATTGCTAGTGAATTTAGTTTTTAAGCACATTGTATTTTTATATAAATTTTTAAAACTTAAAATTCTAAACTTAATTTCCAGAGACAAAATAAATCATTTCACTCTGAACATCAACGTCAAGACGGCAGCTTCTTATTTGACAGTTACTCTTAGTATTTCTTTAACTATATTTTACATCTACTGAGTGTTTCAGAGCCTTAAAATTCATTACGATTATTATATTATTAGTTACAATGTGCACTGTAACATTCCCTTTTTAAAGAGGTGCAAATAGAAGTTAAATAACTTATCCAAGGTCACCCAACAAGTCAGTGACAAAGTTGGGAGTAGGAGTAAAACTTCAGCCCCTAGACTGAAGACTACTTCAAGCGTTTGCAATTCCAAAAGAGGAAAAAAAAAAAAAAAAAAAGGTCAAGCGATTTACCCTCAATAACTTCCAATAATATACTCTAAATACAGTGGTACACTTATTATCATAAACACTAATAAAAAAGATTCACAGTGAATGAAAGAAACAACTTTGCTACATTTAGATACCACTGTCATTTCCCTAGCTCTTGTAACAAGCGAAAATCCTGCACTGGATCTGGCTATATGAAATCCTAGGGAATGTTCACTCTTCAATATGAACAATTTATTTTCATGCTAACATGCATTTCCGAATTAATCTTTTATCACCTTGTCCTATTTGGAGGTGCTGTGGGATGCATTTATTTCCTCACTCTTCCATAACATCAAGTCAAAGACTACAATCTCAAAACTAAGCAATTCTCAGTGAAAACATAGTTACATAGCCAATGAAAGAAAAGCTCTAATAAATGGCTGCTTTTAAAGAGATACTTTTAAAGGATGCTTATATGCTTCAGAGAATTACTGGTAACTCGCCCGCCAAGAAGGATGGTCCCTTTAAAGCAGCCTTTAAGGCATTATCCCTCCCCGTTTGGGACACAGTCTGACTTGTTGGACAAGACTAATCTGGGCACTCTCACACACAACCCCTCTGAACCAGCTTAGTTCACTGCAAACATCATTTCAACTGTAGTACTCAGCCCTTCGCATACTACAAGGGGCAAGATGACTCTCCTTAACAGTCTTTCAGAACGTCCCCTCGGCGGACACTGACAGCCGACCTCCCGCGGATGTTTTTGGAAATAGAAATGTTAACACCAGGAGAGGCTCCTAGGAAGTGTCAGTGCGGCAGCAGGTGGAGTAGCCCTGCGTGCCGAGCAGGTTCTTTCTGACCTAGTCTCAGTCCTCCGCTTCCCGGCCCCAGTTCCGCCTTACAGAGATCTTGTTAAGCCGTCTTGCGCCCCTGTTCTCTAACCCAGGGCGAGACTTCCAACCCTCCAGGGAGGCGAGGCAATCGAAGCAGACAAGACGGCCACCCCACCTCTTCCGGGGACTCGCAGGCCCGCTCCCTGGCCATGTCAGAGCCTGATGGACCAGGCTGGAGGGGACGCAGCCGGCTCCCCTGGGAGCCTCCCAGCCAGAACCCCGCGTCCCACGGTCCCTTTCCACAGCCCCCACCCCTTCGAAACGCCACCGCCACCACCCTCCTTACTCCTGAATCCCCTCTCCTCAGGAGTACCCCAGTGGAGGGAGTTACCGGCCCACTCAAAAGTAAGAGCGACGGCCACCCCTCTCGGTCACCCTGGCCCCACTGTCACCGCCCTGCTCCCGCCTCTGCCTACGCCGCTGGCTGACCCCGGTGACGCCCGGGTCGGTACCTTGCGGACCCCCTTGTAGATATAGAAGTAGAGCTCCCGGCCCACATTGAAGCAGAGGCGGTCGCCGTTGCCAGACTGGTCGTTGAGGTTTACGAAGGAGACGCGGACAGGGTTGGATCCCTGCGAGTTGAAGGGCACCCGGTTGGGCCGGCTGTACTCCGAGTGTGGCAGCAGCTTGTACAGACCTTCCCGGGTGGTGAATTGGGTCTTAATCTCGTTCATCTCCTTCCCTCCTCCCTCCGTCGCCATCTTGGAAAGCAGCGTTCATCCTGCCCTAAGTGCCCGGATCACGCCCACCGCGCAGGCGCTGTTCTCGGTGCTCCCTCTTCCCCCACCCCTTGCCTTTTCCTTGTCGCCCCTCCCACCCGCGGGCCAGCCCCGCGAAGGCGGGCCGAAGGGAAGGGGCGGGCTTGTTTACGGCCCGACTGCGCAGGCGTGCTCACCTGGCGTGCTCCACCCGGCTGGGCGTCCGCAGGCTCCTCCCCCGGGCGTGGCCTCCGGGCGGCCCGGCTGCTTCCCAGGTGATGTCGGTTCCAGCCGGTGGGGTCTAGTTGACGGTTCCGCAGCCACTAGGACCAACGGAAAGCCGATCAGGGGGAACCGCAGCGGGGCTGGTGTCAGGAGCCTGAGGTGAACTTGAGGGTGCTTCCTCAGCGGTCTCCCCCCCTGCCCTGAGGGGCGCCGGGACCCCAAAGAGCGGAGGAAGAGCGCCACCCCGACTGCCACCGCTTCGGGGCCAGCACGCGGGGTACCCTACAGGGAGCGCGGATGCCCCTGTGTTCGGGCGGGGACGGCTCCACCCCTCCTGGGCCCTCCCTTTGGGACGGGGACTGTCCCGCCCAGAGAGAGTGCTGACTACCCTCCCGACCGTCTTGATCCCCGGTCAGGAAGCAAGCCCCTTGGAAGCCTCCTCGCCGCCGTTTCTGAGAAGGTACCGAAGGACTCAAGATTTACGCTTCACTATGTTTTATTTCAGGCCGGGTAGGGGGAGAGAAGAATGTGGTACAGCATGAATATCCTAATTCCTATGTGTGGTGAGCACTGGCGGCCTCCGCTTCTTAGCGGAGGTTTGTCCTTTCCAACTGTTCAGACACACGCGGCGGGGAAGCGCTCTGGGAACCGGGGACTGAATCTATGCAGGATTCACTTCTCTTGCTCAGTAGTTTACGAAGAGCTCTTAATAAAATTTAAGGTAATTGGTTTTTTTTTCCAGAAGCCTCAGATGGAGTCAGTGAGATTATTTACTAGGAGATCCATAGGGATAGTTGTATGCATGTAATGTACAGGGTCTAGATTTGTAAGAACGGGCACACGTGTCAAAGTAAGATTAAACAATCACTATTTTATACCTGGGTTTCTTGGCATATTGCACCAGAATAGGAAAGTTTCTAAAGTGACAGAAACATTCTAATAGAATTCCAGGGAGGAGGGAAGCCAACATCTGTAACACCAAGAATCAACTATTCCTGAAAGTTCAGATTATATCTTGAGGGATACAAAAGAAGTGAATGGAGGAAATTTCTAAAGTAGGAGGAATCTAAATCATAAACATCTTCTGTATTATAAAGCAATACCAATAGAAACTGTGCCAATGATGTAATAATACATTTGCATTGTGTTGGAAAAAAAAGAAAAAAAAGCACTGAAGTCCTACTTAATTAATAGAGCCTTAGAAATGCTTAAAATTTTTTCTTAGAATTGTTTCGATGTTATCCGACTTTCCCTAAAAGTCAAATCGAGATCAGAAATCTTAATACACCAAGGTATGTTCTGTGGTTCCCACGGCTAGATCCCAAACTCCGTAACTGTGCTATTTTACATTGAAAACACATATTTTACAATAATCAACCTGAAGGATAGTGACATCTTGAATCTTCTAAAAATAATTTATCTGTATTTCCTAATTATCAAGAGGAAAAAAGTGTAATAATATTTTGGGGGCAAAAGGCCAGGCGCAGTGGCTCACGCCTGTAATCCCAGCACTTTGGGAGGCCGAGGTCAGGAGATCAAGACCATCCTGGCTAACATGGTGAAACCCCGTCTCTACTAAAAACACAAAAAAATTAGCCGGGCATGGTGGCAGGGGCCTGTAGTCCCAGCTACTCAGGAGGCAGAGGCAGTAGAATGACGTGAACCCGGGAGGTGGAGCTTGCAGTGAGCCGAGATCGCTCCACTGCACTCCAGCCTGGGCAACAGAGCCAGACTCTGTCTCAAAATATATATATATGTGTGTATATATATATGGGGGAAAAAAACCCAGTAAGCAAAAGTTAAAACAAAATTTTGTATTATTCCTTAATTAACCACAACATTCTATTTCCCATAATACCTATGTAATCTAAGCATTCTATCAAGATTTACCGTATATAAATTCAACATTTTATTATAATCACAGTAATAGACTATTCACTTTGTCTCACGCATAGCCTTTGGTTTTTTTTTCTTTTTTTTTTTGGACGGAGCCTTGCTCTGTTACCAGGCTGGAGTGCAGTGATGTGATCTCAGCTCACTGCAACCTCTGCCTCCCAGGTTCAAGTGATCCTCCTGCTTCAGCCTCCCGAGTAGCTCAGACTACAGATGTGCACCACCATGCCCAACTAATTTTTGTGTTTTTGGTAGAGATGAGGTTTCACCATGTTGACCAGGATAGTCTTGATCTCTTGACCTTGTGATCTGCCCTCCTTGGCCTCCCAAAGTGCTGGGATTACAGGCATGAGCCACTGTACCCGACCCCACGCATAGCCTTTGAATAATCTCTGTTTTTATTCTTTTTCTCTCATAGCTTTCTTCCCCCATATTCAAAGATTCAATAAGTAACACCCAAAACTAAATAACTAGGCCTGAATGGCCAGGCATGTTGGCTCATGCCTGTAATCCCAGCACTTTGGGAGGCCGAGGCGGGCGGATCACAAGGTCAGGAGTATGAGATCGCCTGGCCAACATGATGAAACGCCATCTCTACTAAAAATACAAAAATTAGCCAGGCGTGGTGACACATGTCTGTAATCCCAGCTGCTCGGGAGGCTGAGGCAAGATAATTGCTTGAACCCGAGAGGTGGAGGTTGCAATGAGCCGAGATCTCACCACTGCACTCCAGCCTGGGCGACAGAACGAGACTCCATCTCGGGAAATAAATAAATAAGTAGATAAATAAATAAATGGGCCTGACCTAATTTTATTTCTGATTTTCAATTTCAAACCGGGAATTTATTTTTATTTTTATTTTTTTGTGGTAGAGTCTCACTCTGTTGCCCAGGCTTCAGTGCAGTGGCACAGTCTCAGCTCACCTCTCCACCTCCCAGGTTCAAGCGATTCTCCTGCCCCAGCCTCCCAAGTAGCTGGGATTACAGGCGCATGCCACCACACCCAGCTAATTTTTGTGTTTTTAGTAGAAACAGGGTTTCACCATGTTGGCCAGGCTGGTCTCAAACTCCTGACCTCAGGTGATCCACCCACCTCAGCTTCCCAAAGTGCTAGGATTACAGGTGTAAGGCACCGCACCCAGCCTCAAACTGGATATTTCTTTTTTCTTCTTCTTTCTTTGTTTTGTTTTTGTTTTTGTTTTTGTTTTGAGAGAAGTCTTGCTCTTGTCCCCCAGGCTTCAGTGCAATGGCTCGATCTCAACTCACTGCAACCTCTGCCTCCTGGATTCAAACGATTCTTATGCCTCTGCCTCCCGAGTAGCTGGGATTAAGGCACCCGCCACCAAGCCCGGCTAATTTTTGTATTTTTTAGTACAGACGGGGTTTCACCATGTTGGCCAGGCTGGTCTCGAACTCCTGACCTGAGGTGATCCACCCGCCTCGGCCTCTCAAAGAAAGAAATACCCCCCGGTTTAGGGCCGGGTGCCAGGGCTTCATGGCTCTGTACAATCCCCAGAAGCCCCTTC